TTTTGTTGCCCTTTGCTTGTGGCACCAATTTGTGCCTGCACTGTCTACCTGGTGCCCATCGTTTGCCTGCTGTGTCTGACTGGCTGGCTGGCTGACTCGGTGTGTCCGATCATCTCGCCAGACGGGCACAAACACACACACACACACACGCCGCTAATTAGCTCAGTCTGGTGATTGCAGAAGAAGAAGAAGTTGACTAAGATGACTAAGATGAAGAAGGTGACTAAGGTGAAGAAGGTGAAGAAAGAGCTGGCAATATCACCAGTCACGGTGGCGTGCACTTCTCTTTATACTATCTTTGTCTTTGATTTCAAGTACTTTGTTTTCTGCAGTTTTCTTCTTCTGAATCAGTTAAGAGAAATTGTTTAAGAGAGAAAACCAGTAGCAGCAGCAGTATTTAGCAGTCGATCAAATCAGTTAATCAGCAGCAGCAACAATAGTTCATTCATTCATTCATTCACTAGTTCAACAGTTGAGCTTCTGCTTCTGTTGCCACTGTTGCCTCCCCACGGAGCGTTTTCGATTTTAAATCATATAAATAAATAAATAATAAAACAAAGTAGCGGTCCAAGTAGCTGCTGCTGTTGGGCTGAAGGAAAGGCGGACCACACTGCTTCTTCTTCAGCAGTGATCGCTGGTGGTGGTAGTGATCCGGGCAAAGTAATAATACAACAAAGTGAAGAGGAGAAAGAAAAGAGAGGAGAGAGGGCAACAGTAGCAAAGCGAGCGAGGGTCGTTGAAGCGCAAGAGCAGAACTTCTGCTGTTTCGGCAAAATCGAAAGAGAAAAAGACAGGCAACAGGCAACAAGCTCTAAAAGGCTCGCTCACTGGCCGACACCGCGTCAGAGTCGTTCGAGTGTCCGCTTCGAGTGAACGTGTGTGCCCAACTTCTTGTCCGTAACTTGAACATTTTTTTTGTGACTATTTCTGAACTGCTGCTGTCTGTGTGTTGTGCACTTGTGCGTTTTGGAATTTTAAAATACACCGTTGTTTGAAAACACTCGTAAATTTTTACTGATAAATCTTTTGCACCTCTCTGAAACTTCTTCTTCACTATCTGCGAGTGCTTCATCTTTCACCACCACCTCATTTTCTTTAAAGTGAAGAGGGGTTGACATGAATTACTGCCACTGTCACTTCAGAGTTGAATTGTTCCCCTGCTTTTGACTGATTTTACTGATTTCATCATCGCCGCGGCCACCACCACCTACGCAACAGTTGGTCAGTACAATATAAATGCAATTTTTTTTCTCCTTTTTTCTCTTTGTACTTTTTCCGGTTTTCCGCCATTTCTGGTTTTTTTGGTTAGTCTATTACAAGGGAAAAAGAAAGAGAGGTCGTGTAGATTGGCAATTGTCAATAATGGGTGCCGACTGGCTGGTAATAACCTGAGCAAACAAAACAGTAAACTAGAATAGAAAATAGAAAGAGAGGAGACTTCATCAGGCGAGTGTCGCCCAATTTTCGTTCTCATTTTCGTTGCGTGTCACTGACCACCTATGTGCAAACATTGGTCAGTGTTTCGCCCTTCCGAGCAGCAACAACAGCAGTGTTCAATCGGGAGGTAAACTTTTTTAGGTAGCGGATTTCCAGCAGGGTGCTACTGCTGTCAGTAAATTCCTTGCCGCTGAATTTCACCTCAATTCCGGCAAGGGGGCAATTTTCGAACGGATCCAGTCTTCCTTTGTCTGAATTGCACTGAATTCACACACACTCAATTTTCTCACTGCCGCAGTTTTCTTTTTGTGTGTCCTGTTCTGTTCTGCTGTTCTGCTCTGTTCCGTGACCGTATTTTAGCCTGTGTGTGTTCGTGTTGTAATCGCCAAATTGAAGTTGACGAGGAGTTGAGAGGAGGAGGTAGTAGTACAACGAGGAGAAAAAAGAGCAAATGATGATGATGATGATGACTGTGAATTGCCACTGCTGCTGCTGCTGAAATGCAACAGATTTGCCTGTTGTTCAATATGCTGTTTGCCCGGGCACAGAAAAAAGAGCAGCTCCGCCAACACGTTCAAACATCCGCCGCGGCTGCCATGACAGACTGAACCAAAAAAAAGAAAGAGGGGGAAGAAGGGTGGGAATGGCAGACACAATTGTGTCCACAAGTACTCCAATAGCAGCACTTTATACCACTCTCTATTTGCATAAGTGCACACACTCCAAAGCGAGCACTACTCGCCCGTCTCCGCTCGGGGACACCTACGCTTAGCCGGGCTGCTGCTGCTGACCACCACCAGGTGACTGACCATCTGGTCACCATTTCCATTGCACTACCATCACACTTCATTTGCTAATAAGTGCTCTTGTTTTCTGAGTGATCCCATGACCACTTTTTTGTTATTGCACCACCCACCTTTATCGTCTGGTGGTGGTGGTGCTGCTGCTGCTCTTTGCATCATCACAACGCTGGAATCTAATCTAACCGGACCTTTGCATTCTTTGCCTGCCTCAGCCAGCCAGCACCATCCCGCAAATCACCTTCGTTGTTGTCTGCTGCTGCTGCTGCTGCACTCTGCTCAACATGTTACAATTAATTTGCTGCCCGCTCTTCTACTGCTTCTCATAAGGTCAAATCGTTTGCTGTGTGTTTGCAGCAGAATCAGTCGTTGTCCCCTTCTTCTTCCTTCTCCTTCTCATCCACCTCCGCTTTTTGCTCTTCTACCACCTTTGTAGCTAAATCTGGGTGTGTGTTGAACGATGATGATGATGATGACGATGATTACTTGGCATAAATCGGAGAGAGAAGTAGTGTGTGTGTGTGTGTTTGTGTCTGTGTACCTCTCACCGCCGTCGTCGCCGTCACCGCTGCTGCTGCCGACAGAAACTCGGCGGCGGCGAACACTTGAGAAAGAAGAAGAGCAGCAGCATTTGCCCATAAACACACACAGCAGGGCGAATAGAGTGTGGTGGATAAATAAAAAATAAAAATAAGATAAGCAGCAGCGCGGGCGATTTCCTCCTCCTCCTCTTCTTCCCGTTGATGCAGCAGCAGCAGCACTCTGATTCAGTAATTGTTTGATGCAATTATCATGTGAGCGATTTCAATCCGAGATGTTCAGCTTTGAGCTTTGAGCTTTAGAGTTCTGCTTCTGTGGCGGCAGGATTCACCGACCGACAGACACATCCGTTAGTCGATTGTGTTCTGTTCTGTTCTGTTGGTAGTGCCGATGATGATGATGATGATGATGATGATGATGATGATGCTAGTGCCAGTGATGCACATCAACACACACACACACGGACAATTTAGACTCTCTATCCTCTAGCACCCCCACTAACATCTTTCTTTCCTTTCTTTCTTTCTTTGTTGTGTCCATGTGTCCCGGTGTGTGATCAGCAGCAGCAGTAGTGAGCAGCACTCAGCAAATTGTCTCGTTACCTGGGAATGGAGGAACACGAATTGTGTGCACATCCATTGTATTCTTCTGCTGCTGTTGCTGAACAAACTGACTGACTGACTGACTGGGTAATTGCCAAGTGTAAATTGATTCGACATGGTCGCAGTTTAAAAAAGAAGGAAAGAAAACAAAGGGAGATGTGCAAAACTGAGAGAACTCTGTTTAAAGAGGGGATTGAAAATTGATACTTCTCTCTTTCTTTTTGTTTGCTCTCGATATTAGCTAATTAGCCTGCCTCTCTTTTTTTTGCAAGTGCTCTCAATGCAAATTGAGGACAGAGGTGGCAGTGGTGGTGGTGGCAGAACGGGTGACAACTACAGTTGAAGGATTCATTCATCTCTTCTTCTTCTTCTTCTTTTGCATTTTCTAATGAATAATGCAAATGTCATTCAATGGTAGTGTAGGCTGAAAGCTGGTGCCTGAAGTCTTTCACTGTCTAGCGGTGAACTGGACCGGTATTTTTTTCTTCTTTTTCAGTTTCTTCAGCACCAAGCCTACCACTGATCACTTTACTCGATAAAGCTGTCTCTCTCTCATTTTTTGCTCTCAGTTCACTGCCGCCACTTATCATATCCCGGGAGCAGCAGCAAGACAACAAACAACAACAACAGCAGTGTGTGCAACAAAGTGTGTCCATTGTGTTCTTCTTCTGCTCCCTGGCTCCCATTATCACCACCAGGAGCAACTTCAGCAGCAGTCAAAACTAAACGGGTTTAGGCGCACTTAGGAACTCGAGAGACGGTGTTTTCTGCTTTTCTGTGTTGCAAGTTAGAGCTAACTAACTGACTAAACTAGACGACCGTCTTCTTCTTCTTCTTCTTTGCAATCACTTTTCAATACACAAGCAGACAATACATTGAGAGATACATCAGTCAGTCAGAGAGTCGTTGCTAGCTAACTTCATAAGCATATATTAGTACTTTTGGTTAGTGTTTTGCTTAAATTACCCAAACTCTGATTTTGGTAGGAGCTAACATAGAGGACAGCAACCGATGACTCCACGGTGATCGATGCGGTCACTTGCCTCTTTCTGAAGAATGATGATGACTTACTACTACTGCTACTGCTTCCATTGCCACTGAATTTCCATCTCTTTCTTTTTTTCTATTTCCACTGTCAACCACCTGTAGAACTAACCAATGCTTTGTCCTTTCCATTCTTCAGATGAACGAAAAGCCCAAACTAAGTCAACGAGCCATTGACTGCTGCGAAAGTGCCGTCCAGGTCACCATGCCTACCGCCTACCAGGACTACTTTCGCCACTTTGCCGGCGGCGGCGAAAGCGGATACTATGGAGGTCATTCGAGTCACTCATACGGCCATCAACCGCACCAGTACCACGAGGACATCATCAGCAGGCACCGGGCGATGCTCGCCAAGTCGCTGATGCCAACAACCTCGTCCTCTTCAGCACCAGTTGAAGATTTAGAACAAGGAATTCTACTTCCCTCACCTCCTCCTCCTCCTCCTCCTCAACCATTTCAACCCCAGGTGCACATCTCTCCCTCCAATTACACACTCCTGCCGTACACCAACGGAACTAGTCAAACTGGAACATCAGTTGAAACGCCCAGCACCTCTTTTGGCCGACCGGAAACCGGAATGGCCGCCACGACGGCCACCGCCACCTCAGGCGGAGGTGGCTCTCGGCACAGCCTGGAGCACCTTCTTCAGCACGGTCATCAGCAGGGTCAGCTGTGTCCTCATCATGCGGTCCACTTTGCCTCCGCCTACGATGTTCGTCGATCTTCCGCCTCCTACTCGGCGGATAATTACTCTTCAGGAGAGAGCAGCTACGAGGCCGCCTATCGAGTTCACACAAAGACCTCCAGTCCGCCGCCCCTCTTTGGGAAGCTGGTTGGAACGGTGGCGAAGCACTTTCTCAGTGATGAGCGCGATCGAAAGTACTACGCCGACATGTACTCCTGTATGCCGCCGCCGATCTTCATTCTCACCATTACTTTGGTGGAGGTATGTTTGATGATAAATAACGGGAGTTTAAAATGTGCTAACTTTTTTTTCAATTTCCAGCTCATCTTCTTCAGCTACTACGCCATCGCCAATCAGACCGGCCCGGTCACCCCCAATGGGCCGATTCCCATTGACAGCCTTTTCATCTACCGACCGGATCGGAAGGTGGAGATTTGGCGGTTCTTCCTCTACATGGTCCTCCATGCAGGGTAAACAAATAGCATTCCAAAAAAATCTTAGAACATCTTTTTAATATTTTTTACTTTAGCTGGCTACACCTGCTCTTCAACCTTCTAGTCCAATTGCTGGTCGGCTTGCCGCTGGAGATGGTCCACGGCTCGACGCGAATCGGCGTCGTCTACATGTCTGGCGTTCTTGCAGGTAAATTCTTAAAGTTATTAAAAATTTAAACCTTTTCATCCAATTTTTTTTAATTTTAGGCTCTTTAGCAACCTCCGTCTTCGACTCTGAGGTGTACCTAGTCGGCGCCTCAGGTGGCGTCTACGCGCTGCTCGCTGCCCACCTCGCCAATGTCCTCCTCAACTACAACCAAATTGAGCTCGGTTTTGTCCGCCTGGTGGGCGTCTTTGTTGTTGGTGAGTTGATCTTATAACCTTTTTCACAATAAAATAGTCAAATTCTAACCAAATCTTTTCCCTTTCCATTTTTTAGTCTCAGTGGACGTCGGCATAGCAATCTACAATCGGTACGCCGCCTCGGCGATGGCCCACGACGGCGGCTCGGTGTCCTATGTAGCTCATTTAGCTGGGGCCGCCGCCGGCCTCACCATCGGCCTGCTGGTGCTGAAGAACTTTGAGCAGAAGCTGCACGAGCAGCTGGTGTGGTGGGTGGCCCTCGGCGTCTACGTGGCCTGCATCCTCTTTGCTCTGGTCTTTAATGTCTTCTACTAAAAGCTCCAGGATTCATTTACTGCACTGAGCAAAAAAATCACTGCCGACAGATATCAGACAGACCGAATCAAGTCAGCCATGACTGCTCTGTAGGTCCGTCTCCAAAAAAAAGAACATTCTCTTTTTCTTCTTTGTCTGCCGCCGCCGTCGACCTGAGTGCTGCACTGATTTTAATTGCCAAACTTCAGCACTTGCCTTCTTCTCTCTCTCTCTCTTCTTTACCAATTACCTGAACCAGTCATCATTCTGCTGTCATCATTCACCACACAAATGCTGAATGGTGGTGGCAAATGATGCAGAGAGAAGGAGAGGGAAAGAAAATAGTAGACAGACAGTTGAAATGGCAGTCCCGGATTGATGATGATGATGCACTGCCATAGTGCACTGGCAATTATGATTGCAAGTGCACTTTCACCCCTTTCTTATATCTCCTCACTGCCGCTGCCGCCCTTTTATAGGGAACTTATAACTTAAACAGCTCAAACAAAGTATTCAAACCAATTTGAAGATAAACTTGCTGATGAATACTATAAACCAACTTCAAAGCACTCTACTTACCGGTGATGGTGTGAACTATGTGGTCACACTATCAGCTAACATGAAGCAAAACATAAAGTATTAAAAACATTTATACACCAGATCTTTTATACACTGTTATTTCTAACCCTGTCATTTTATACCCCCCTCTTTCTAATCATCNCATAAAGTATTAAAAACATTTATACACCAGATCTTTTATACACTGTTATTTCTAACCCTGTCATTTTATACCCCCCTCTTTCTAATCATCACCTTTTTGTTGTTCCAATTTTTCAAATATTTTCTAATAATAAAAAAGTCTTACTCAAAGTAAACATTTTTTTAATAGTTTTTGATTAAATTTTATTTAGACATTTTACTAGCGGTGTTGTTGTTTTTGAAGGTGGGGTGTTTGCTCAAACTCCAAAAAAGTCAATTTTTGTGATGGAAAAAGAGATAGAGTTCTTACTTCTTACAGCTGTGTTGATGTTGATGTGCTGATGGCGTGTTGCTGAAGTTGCTGCTGATTCCTTCCTTCATTCCTTCCTTCCTTCCTTCCGTTTTCTTAGTTTTGCTGATTTATTCATTGTCAATGGTTTCCTAGTGGTTTCCAAAGGTGGGCAGGGGCGGGCACTTCTGTCCGGGGCTGGGGTTGTCGAGGCACTCGTGGTAGCCGTTGAGGTTGCCCTTGATGCAGCACTCCGCCGGGTGGTTCTTGTCCACGTGCTTGCAGTCGCCGTGGTCGCCGCAGAAGCGGTGCATCTCGGCGAAGGCGGCGCTGATCACCAGCAGGAGGACGAAGAGGAGCGAGAAGATGCGCATGGTAGTTTTTGAGAGGTGGTGATAATTTGGTGGGAAAAACTGTAAAGGGCTAAAAGGGAGAAAGAGAGGGGCTTTCTTCTAAAGTTCTGAGCAGTTTGGCTGAGCTTTTATAGTCAATCAGCCACAGTGAGCGACATTGTCTCGTCTCGAAGCCCTGGAAGCCTTGGAATGGAATGAAATCTGGAGATAATCCAGGGATTTTATTGATAAGCACTGTACTGGCAATGCACGCACCCTACCTTAGTTGACTGTCATCTGACATCAGTGTCTGCACTGATTAGAAAACTAGCTGATCAGTGGATCAATCAATGTTTTGAAGGTCGTGTGACCACCAGCTCTTTTCAAGCATACCTGTGTCGTATCCAAGTGACGCAAAGGTTTTTTGGCTTTTGAGAATGTCAAAAACGCGTGCATGCAATGCACAAATGGTAAAAGAAGAAGAAGGGTGTTATTTCACAGTTACGTAGTAAAGTAAAGTAATAATAATAAAACAGATCAAATAAATTAGAATACAACAACGTCAACGAAGAGAGAAGGGAAAAAAGGAAAAAGAAAGAGAGAATGTGTTGACGGGGGTGAAAAAAGAAAAGGGTAAAACAGTAGTTGTAAAAGAAGAAGGGGAGACATAAAAAGAGAGATAACAATGGATAGAAAGAATCAGAAGATTAAGTAAAGTCAAGGAATGTTTCAGGTTGCAGAGATTGGATGAGATGAATGTGAAGAGCAGGCAGGCATTGGACGTTTACACTGAACAACTCACTGTCATTTGTCAGTGCTTGGCTTTTGGTGGTTTTGAGAAATAAAAAGTTTAAAAGAGGTTTTCATCACAAAAGGTCTCTTCAAAAATGTGTGCTGGACGGATGGATTGGGTCAAAGGATTTAAAGGGGGAAAAGAAATGGGAAGTTGGTGCTTTGTGCGTTAGTAGAAAAAAATTTCCTTTTGTTCATGTTCACTGTTCTTCGGTTTCCACTCGAGAGTACGGCTCGGCCTTGTTGCGCTTGAAGAAGCCAGTCTAAAAAATGAAACAATTGTTAAAGTTTTGTTACTAAATATTTTCCCAAAGTAATTTACCTTGTAGAGCAGGACGACAATGGCGGCGAGGATGATGATGCCAAAAAGGATGCCCAAAAGGTACCACCACCAACTGGCCTGGGGCACAATAAGCGACGTGTCGGGGAAAGCTTTTGTTTCAATCTAGAAAAACAAAGTTTTGTCAATAAATCAGAAAACAAAACACACAAAACACACATACCCAAAACTTATCATCTTTATCCGACTGCTCAATATTGAAGATCGGATTAAGGCTAATGGCTCCAAAGGACTTGATGGAGACGTGGTGCACGTCAGGGAACTCCTCCACAAAGGTGGCATTCCACAGCCTCGAGGGCACCTGAATGACCGCCGTTTTATTCGCATCAATATTTCGAATCAGACAGCGGAAGCGGATGCACTTGGCGCCCGATTCACAGGACAGCGAAACGACGTTCTGCACATTTCCGTCTCGATCGCGAATCTCACGAACTTGGGGCGCCTCTCTTCGGGTTCTTTTGCTGCCGCTGCTTCCCGACGGGTAGGTGGTCGTGTACTGAAGCTCTTCGGAGATCTAACCAAAGTTTAGCAATTGTTAAAATTTTTGAGAGTGAAAAAAGGAGCAAAACAGCGTACCATAAACTTCTTTGGATTAATGTAGCGCGAGTCGAGATCGCAGAAACCATTTTGGTTGAGGACGCTGGGCTTGGCGGTGATGTAGAGGAGCCTGAAAACAAAAAAAGCATTTTTTAGAAAAAGGTTTTCATTCAAAATTTTATCATCTATTTACCATTTTCCGTACTCTCGATTATTGTCGAGCTGGTGGGGCCAGTTGATGGAGACGGTCACCTCGCGGGCTCTCCACGGGCCATTGTTCTTCACAATGTACTTGTGGTAAACCTTGTGGCCGATTTCCTCCTCCAGTCTCTGTTTAATTTAAAAATAAACGTTTAGCATTTTACATTTTTAAAAACCTTATCAATTCACTTACCATAGCCGACTCTCCCTTCACCTCACCGCCATAGCGGACCTGCTGCTCAATGGACACGCCGCTCAACTCCAGCTCCGCTCTCCTCAGTATCTCCGTATTAAAGGAGACCGTATTGTCCAGAGTGCTCTTGTCATTGCTGGTGCTAAAGTTATTTAAAAAATGCTAGCTTTAAAAAAAATTTGACAAAGTTATCAAAACTTACGTATTAGCCCGTATGGTAATGAAGAACTCCCGCTCAATATCAGGTATATTGTGACCATTAAAACGGAGCTGAAAGTCCAACTTTCCCTTGAATGGATTGCTCAACGAGCAGCTCACCTTCGCCGACTTGCTGCTCGCCTCCGGCCGACAATCCACCTGCTCCGTGTCGGAGATCTTCCCGCGACCGACAAAGCTCAGCGAGGGCGTGTGCTCCACGGTGAGGTCGGCGTCGTAGGCGGGCTCTCCAAAGTTGCTCACCTGCACGTTGACCACTATCAGGTCGTCGGTGAGGACCATGGTGTAGTTTTCGCCTCCGTCTTTTCTTCGGGCATTTGCCAGCGTGGCTCTCAGGACGAGGTTGCTGTCGCAGACGTCGTCCATACCTTAAGGAAGAAAAAATTAAAAATCTTATTAATTTTTTGATTAAAAAAACTTACCACACTCCTTAACAAAGCGGGCGTAGAAGATCCGCTGCGCCTCCTCCTGGTCCAGGATTGGGTAGTCGTCAATGTCGGGCAGCGGTTCGCCCTCCTCGGGCGTCTCCGGCACCTTCTGCTGCAGCGAGTAAGTTAGCTTGAAGGGAATCTAGAAAGAAAAAAAGTTTTTGTTAATAAAATCACTTTTTTAAAAATTTACAAAATTTTTCTCACCGAAGTCTGAATATCCTGCGACGGCTTCAGGTAGATCACCTCGCGGTTGCAGTGCTCCGAATTGTACCCATAACCGAGCGAGATGTTCCGCTCGACTACGTTCGGCGTGTCGCCATTAACCGGTGCCTTGAACACCGCCCGGTAGTACTTCTTTCCGGGCATGAAGGTCTCCGCCTCAATGCGGTACTGCAGCTGGTAGACCTTCGCATTGCCGAGCAGCTTAAAACACGGCTGAACGCTGAAACAGGGCACCTTCGAGCTGGGGTCATCCGCGCAGCCCACCGACTTCGGGTCAATCGTCGTCAGATTGCCCTTCACCGAGGTCTTGATCTTGATAATGGGCCGGGAGCGGAGAAGCACCACCGCGTCGCTCTCATAGGCGCCCACCAGCAAGTCGGGGTAGGCGTTCCGGTCCAGGTCGAGGTTTCCGGAGAGGGAGTAGCCAAAGGTTTTGACAGTGTCCAGCGGATAGGGCAAATTACCCGCCTCAATCACCTGCGAGGGCTCCGCCTTCAGGCCGCCCCTGCTGCCGGAGAAGATGTAGACGACGCCATTTCGCTCGTAAGGTGCTCCAACGGCTAGGTCCTCAAAACC